ATTGTTCAGTTTGATGACAGTGTACATGACAGAGTAAGTTCCATGTAAAAACAGCTAAAATTGAGACCCTGCCTCAAAGAGACAAAAAGTTGTATCCTTGCTCATATCTGGAATTGTTTCTCCTGCTTATTTCCTGTAACAGTTTTAATGTTTCAGGTCTCACATTAAGATAGTTCATCTATTTGGAGCTAATAATTGTGCAGGGTGAGAGGTGCGGGTCTAGCTTCATTCATATACAAGTAAATGCTCAGTTTTTCCAATCACCAATTGTTGAAGAGACTACTTTCTCCCCTCCAATATGTATTCTTGGTATCTTTGTAAAAAAAAATCAGGTGGCGATAGCTGTGTGAGTTCACATGTAGGTTTTCTATTCTAATTTTATCAATGTATGCTTCTGTCTTTGAATCAGGGATCATTTTAATTAGCTATTCTAGTTACTATGACTCTGTAGTACAACTTGACCAGTCACTAAAGAAATAATGTGAATGAAGGATAAATGTGACCTCATGAAACTAAAAACATTATCTAGCAAAGGAAATAGTTGATTGAGTGATGAGACAGCCAACAGAATAGGAAAAAACCTTTGCTAGCTTTATATCTGTCAAGATTAATATCTAGACTATATAAAGAACACACCAAACAGCACTACATCAAACAATGCAATCAATAAATGTGTTAATGACATGAATAGATCTCAAAAGATAAAATGTGGGAGGGCTTGGGTGATAGATCAGTTGGTAAAGTGCTTACTGTGGATGCATGAGGACCTGAGTTCAATCCTCAGGACCCATGTGAAAAATAGCACGATATGGTAGGTTATACTTATAATTCCAGTGTTGGGAAGGCAGATTCGTAGATACCCAAGGCTCATTGTCCAGCTAGCCTGTTTGGTGAATTCTATGCCAGTGAGAGAACATATCTCAAAAGACAAAATGGATGAAGACTGAGTAATGGCACCTAAGGTTGTCCCCTGCTCACCACATGCACACACATACAAATGTGCACGGGAAAACACGTGCACCTTCATACACACATGCATGCATGCATACACACAGATCAAACCCCAAAATAGAAAGATAAAATGCAAGTGAGCAACAATCATGAAAAAATGTTCAGCTTCAGTAACCATCAGAAAATGCAAATAAACCCTGCATTGTGATTGCATCTTATCCAAGTCAGAGTGATAATCATTTAAAAAATAATAAGTTCTGGCCAGGATATGGATAAAAGGAAACCCTTATATACTGCTAGTGAAAATGTAAACAAGTTATAAAAATCAGTATGAAGGTTGTTCAAAAATAATAAATAGATCTACCATATGACCCAGCTACAACATTCCTGGGTATTTACCCCAAAGACTCCAAGTCAACATATCACTAAGTTTCTTGTACACCAGTGTTTCATAATAGTCTAGTTATGGAACCAATCTAGGTGCCCAACAATAGGATAATGAAGAAAAATATGATATGTATGCACATGTGTATGTATGTATGTATTATATATGTGTGTGTATTATGTATGTATGTATGTATGTATTTTGGGGGCCAAAAAGAAGAATGAAGTTACTTTGTTGGAAAATGAATTCAACTACAGTTGTTCAATTAAGCAAATGAAACCAGTCTCACAATGCATCATATGCTTTTCTCTCATTTGTAGCTTCTAGATTTATATATAGATTCACAAAAGCAGGTACACAATGAAAATAGGAGTGAAACTTTCAAGAACAAAAGAGACCAACAGAAGAGAACACTGAGAAAATGGAGGTATTAGGGCTCATGTGTGCTGTAGGAACTCCTTTAAGATACCAGTCCACTTGGGTGTGGCCTCTTATACTATAAATGCCAATGAAAAGCTCATGCTTGCATTCTCCCCCCCCCCCACTCTCTGCTTCTGGATTCGGTTTCTGTTCCCTGTTCGTGCAGAGGACTGTGATCTCTGAGTCTACCCCTAAATAAATAACCCTTTATTACACTCAATTCTAGTATAAGATTATTTTTATAACTTCCATCTTCATCTGGTGCCCAACATGGTCAACTCCATCCACATAAAACCTGAGAGAGCTTGGAAAGTAATTCTAGACAGAAAAGAACAGAGTTGAGCATAGTTTCTTGGTAGCAGCATTTTCTCAGCTGGGCTCTGTTTGCTAGAGGCAAGCGCATCTCATTTAAGAGAGGCTTCCTGACTCAGTTTTAGCTGCAAAAATCTTGCAGTTCTTTTAAGAGGCCCCACCACCGAACACTTAAATTATGTTTATAAATAGCCAACAGCATGCTTCTTGGTGGTGGCAGGAACCTTGAAACTCTATGGAGTTGCGGCAATAAACATGGCTCCTTTCAGTAACTCCACCATGAAGCTAGACTCTCAGAAAGCTAAGGAATGGGGTGGATCCAATCATCAAAGCCATGGCTTTAATCCTGGCCATATCACTTAGCAAATTAAAGACTCATATGGTCAGAAAAAGAGAGATATACAGTAAAGATAGATTCAGATAAAAAAAAAAACCTCTAAATGGTTTAGAGTATGTTTTTAAAAAAATATACATAGGCTTGGGAGAGAAAAGAAAAAGGACAGAGTACTTAAAAAAAGAAAGAAAGAGAATAGTTGGATGTGGTAGCACACACCTTTAATACTAGTACTTGTGAGGCAGAGGCAGGTGGGTCTCTGTGAGTGCAAGGACAGCCTGGTCTACAGAGTGAGTTCCAGGACAGCCAAAGATACACAGAGAAACCCTGTCTCAAAAAAAAAAATTAAAAATAAAAATAAAAGAAATAGAGTTCCAAATAAAGCCACATAAAGATGGAAACTACACAGAGAATCTGGATACTGTATGTTATTATGTTGTCTTTGAATTGTTTGACAGCTGAGGAAGGAGCAACAGCTGCTAAAAGACATTTGATTATAAATGCTGCTGGATTAATACAACCTATATGTCTTGGATAATAGGAGAGTGCTGTTTCTGGCAATATAATTTTGCTATATTTTACATTCTAACTACGTACAAGGTGTCATTTTTTGTAAACAAGATTTAACATTTAATGAAAATAAGGACTGAGGAACTAGAAAGCAGTTGTCTTCAAAGAGAAGGGAAATACAATGACAACTATGGGGAATATGAGGTAGAAGAAAATTGTGGTTTTTTTAAATTTTGTTTTAGGCTATGGAGACATGAGTGGGCCTAAAAGCGGATGTGAAGCCAACAACTGTGTGGAAAATTGAAGCTATAAAAAATAAGGATGCACATAGCCAAATCACAAATGAGGAGACAAGTCTTTTATTAGAACCAGAAGGAAGGTGGAAGTAAGGAATATGCACATAACTATGTCTAGAAATTTGATATGAGAAGTTAAACATTATTATTTATACTTACCATTATCTATATAATTTGGCAAGCATGAGCAGAAACACAGCAGTGTTGAAATTTAGGGTGAGTACAATAAGATTTGAAATAGCATTGTGGAGCTGGATTGAAAAGGAAGCTGACCATAGCAACAGAGTTAGTACTGCACGCTCAGTAGTGTGGTGCATACTTGGTTGTGTGATTTTTCTCTACCAAAATTCAGAAAGTCAAATACAGGCATGGGAAAAGGTAGGCTGATTCAGGTTTGGGATTTTGTCAGACTGGGCGATGGGAAGGAGAATTGGGAAAAGAGAGAGTGGCTGAAGTGATAAACCGCAAAGCCCAAATAAGCTTAGAACAAAGTAGAGACAAGAGGTCACTCATAGAAAATAGGAAAGTGTATCTATGAGTCAAGACTTAGAGGTCTCAATAAAGTTGAATTTAAAAAGAGGTTGTGGTTAGAAAATGTGATACTTTAGTTTATGATTGTGTGATTCTGAGTGATGAGGATGAGATGTGGTTCAGGACACGACTGGATGAAGAGAATCCAAGTTGGGAGTCTCTGGAGAAGGTATCAGAGAAGGTGGATGACGAGGTGGTTAGAGTATAACATGGGTTAGTTGTCTGAGTGAACTGACCAAGATTGATGGCACTACCAATAGGAGGAAGATCGTGATTTTAAAAGCCAGTCTTCAATGAAGGCGAGGGAAATATGTAAAGGAGATCATATCTGGCCTAATGGTCTACTGTAACCCCTTGAAGGATTGGTGGCTTTACTGGACAATGATTTCCTTTAGGAGCATTGACTCTGGGACAATAGATAGACTATTAATGATCCAAGAATTCTCTGACACTCTGGAGCAATGTTCATGACATTAATTTTCAAAGGACCAAATAATTAAACAAAAGCCCAAGAATTACTATTCTAAGGAATTTGTGCAAAAAAAAACCAAAATGCAAAGATTAAAAACTGTATATACACCTATGCACACACAGACAACAACAATAAATGAACTCAGTGGTTTGGAAGAAAGAGAACATATGAAGTAGGGAAGGAAAACAGGGTGGGGGCTAGGAAAGGAATTGGAGTCAAGGAAGTAGGAGCGAATTTGATTTATTTTTTTAAAAGTACATAGGCTTAGGAAAGGCACACCCTATCCAATGCAATCCAGAGTTTCTATTCCATACACCATAACTATAACAGATTGCTCAAGACCTAGCAGGAAGCTTAAGGCAGTAGGTAGCCCTATACTTGGCTGTGTATTAAAATAGCTGGTGGGGGGCTGGAGAGATGGCTCAGTGGTTAAGAGTACTAACTGCTCTTCCAGAGGACCCAGGTTCAATTCCCAGCACTCACATGGCAGCTCACAACTATCTGAAGATCCAGTTGCAGGGGATCTGACACCTTCACACCAATGCACATAAAATAAAGTTAAATAAACCATAAACAATATTTTTAAAAAAAGATGGTGGGCTGCAAAAACAGAGGAAGGGGTCAAGATATCCGCAGGGTAATTTATTACTGAGGCTCAATTATTTACCTAGCTGGTAAAAATCTTCAGGTGGCAGCTACTGTACAATGGCTGAAGAGAATTAAGTGACTTTAAGCCAGCCCCCTTTCACAAGAGCGGGCATTTCAAAAAAATATAAGGAGCATATATACCTTTCAGCGATATTTCTTGCAGATTGCAGAAACCGGGCTTGGTCATTTTCCTTCAGAATATGCTCAGCTTGGTTGATGAGGACTGTTGACCGTTCAAGACACTGGCGGCAATTAGCAACCTGCTGTGCCAATTTTCTCAGTTTCATAACCTTAAAAGATTGGGAAGAGAAAAGATGAGATACAACATACTGTGCTTAATTAAAAGCAATAAAATACCATGAAGAAGGTCTGCCCCAGTGATTCTAAAAGTAAGGGTTATTAATATCGTATGGCCCCTACATCAACTGTTCACCTTCTCATCCTGGCTGCTAAGTCTCTTGCCCAGTCTATAACTTGATTACTTACTTTGCACTCAGGCATTTCTCTACTATCTACCTCCTCTTTGTATTTACAACATTGTTCTGATTGTAAAAGCAATGCATGCTAATTTTTAGAAAATTAAATACAAATATAAAAAGAAGTTCTACCACCTAGAGATCACCATTGTTACATTTTATTTTGGCAATATATTTTTGCATACATTTAATAAAACTCCCTCATTTTTATTTATGAGAAGCTGTATTTCCAAGCATATATTTCTCTAAGTATCTTTACACCTACTACAATGTATTCTTGGAAACTTCAGTTTATGTTAGCTGGAACTACCCAGCATGGCACAAAGTATTGGTCATCAAATAAGGTACTTTCAACTTTTCCCATTGTACCCTCAGCATGGGCTTTCAATCACTATCATTTACCAGTAGGCTAACAAGTCTAAAAACATACAGCGGCTGCATGGAGACTTTCATCTGACCTCTTTAACCCTTACTCTTCAGTTCCCTGCATAGAAATCTGCAGTTCTTTGATACTTTTCTCTCCTTTTCTCTGTTATATCTAGTAAATTAAATGATGCTGTTTTCTCTCTAGCAATTATGCTTTTCCTTTCCATATGTTCTATCACTAGCCTAGTTTACATCTTCTAGAACTCATACCAGAAATCATTGCATGTCTGCAAACTTGATTTCTTGGCATCAATATCATCATGTTTTGATCTACCATGCGCATCTCTACCATATCAAATTGAATCCTCCCTACAGAATCACAATAGTTTCCCAGCACCTTTTGTAAGGTCTAAGTAGCCAAAATGGCAGTCACATTTCTTCTGTAATCCCAACCTATGTTTCTACCATTCTTTCTTTCTTTTTATTGCCTTAAAATATGGAGGGTAAGGGGTTGGAAAGATGGCTTAGTGGTTAAGAACAATGATTACTTTTCCAGAAGACCTGGGTTCTATTCTTGACACCCACATGCTGGCCTACAACTGACCTTAACTCCAGTCCCAAGAGATCCCGTGACCTCTTTTGGCCTCCAAGGACACTGCATGCACATGATACACAGACATACACCCAGGCAAAACACCCATACACACAAAATAAATGTTAAAAATTTAATTGAAAACATGCTAAAGCAAAATGCCTCAATCTTAAGTAAATGATCATCTGTGTGCATGCGTGTACACATAACCAACATCCAGGCCAAAGTAGAGAATGTTTGCAGCACCCAGAGCTGCCATCGCTTTTTATCAGACTCAGCAAACACTACTTGGTGTCTCTACCAATGATCTCATTTCTTTTTGATTTTCTGATTCAATTTCAAACTGCAATAGTCAGGAATGAGCTTTGTAAAAGGCCAGCTGCACGTTGGCCTCCCTGAAGTGCTGGGGTTTACCTTTGTCTCTTTGATTTTGACAGCAATCATTTGCTTCCTCTGCTGGATGATCTCTACCAACTCGTCACATTCTTCCATAAGTTTTGCCTCATGCATAGCCGTATTCACCTGCCAAGAGAGGCCAAAGTATTAGAAAGGGATTGTTGCTTTGGTCTCCTGCTGCATCTAAAAGGTTCGGACTGATGGCTAAACATGCACAACTTCTTCCAGACCTCCTTCAGTAAGATCCACTCCTAGAAGAAGGGTAGAGATGATGACATCAATGATGCAAGGGTATTGAAGCATCACAGTCAGGAAGCTCTCCAGGCCTCTGGTAGGTTCTGATGGTTAATGGAAAGCTGGGCAGAAGGACAGATGAGATGGGGGCCTGTCATTCCCACTGTGCAAATCCCTTTACTCAATCACCTGTCCTCCTGCTGTTCTTTGGAAAAGAAGGACAGAAGATGCATGTGTTTCAAGGGAAGAAGATCCTCTTCCACAGGCACAATAATATTAAGATTACAATGCAACAACATATTTCTATGGGCCTAAAATGCTTTCCATTTTCCTCGTTCCCTTCTGATTTTAAATATGAGAATGTGCAGATCTATTTTCACATGAAACATATGAATGTGTAGATACTTTTTCACATAGCTGTCATAATGTTTTACTCATATTTCTTGGCTTAGAGAAAAAAATCTATCCAATATCTAAATACTTTTCCTATTTTGAGATACTATCTACATCAAAATATCTCTGCCGCAAAGTCAAAAGGGAGTTGAATCAACAGCCACTATTCACTGTCTTTCTGTGGACAGATCTCTTCTCCCCTTCCTCTCTAATACTATTGATAATGGATGGAATGAAGTCCAGATGCGGTGCTAAAATGGATATAGGAGATTATGGGACTCCCCAGATATAATGGGGAAAGAAGAAACAAGTATCTGACTGCTTTGAAGCAATCTATATGCCAAACACTACACAGAAAAATAATTCATGTATTAAATTATAATTATAAGTTTTTAATACAGAAGCTGTTCTTTTCTTTCACTTCACAAATGCAGAAACAAAGGCTTTGAGAATGTTACTAGCTTCCTCCAGATCTCAATGCTAATTAAGTGGCAAAACCATATTTCAAATTGAGCTCTTTGAAATGAATGCCTGAGCTAGTTGAGAAGAAACATCGGCAGGTGTTGGCAAGCAAGTTTCAGTTCCATTTCTGCGGCACACAGAGCAGTGACACAGAGAAGTACAATTATCCCAAGAGTCTATTCAAGGACCACTTGAGCAGAGCTCTAGAAAGCTGAGAAACAGACAATGATTTCCTTGAGAGCATCAAAACCCAAGGAGTTAGATTGCTGTATTAGCTGGGGAGGAGGGGCTGTACTGTCAAGTCACTTGCTCTCTTCAAAAGATTCCTATACATATCTCAAATTCAATAAAATATCCATCCCTGGGCCCTGCTATCTCCTCTCTCCATCAGCCCTGCTGGATATTTTTAAATGGTTTTAATAATTATTTTAGAATTCCATATAGTGTATTTTGATCATATTCACCCTCAACTACTTCCCCTAACTCCTCCCAGATCCACTCCTACCCTCTTTAGCTTCCTGTCTTCTTTTCAAAACTTAAAAAAAAAAAAAAAGAAAATAACCCACAAAGTCCAATTTGTACTGCCCACATAATACTAGGCTGGGACCATCCACTGGAGTGTGGTCAATCTACCAGGGACCACACCTTTTAAAAAAACACAACTGATTCTTCTTTCTGAGAAGTCTCCAACTGAACAGAGTTCCTTGGTTCTTGCTGGATAGTGTTATATTTCTTTTCTTAAAGGTTTTTAAATTTTATGTGCATGAGTGTTTTATCTTCATGTGTGTATGTGTACCATGTATGTTCCTGATGCTTTGCTTTATGATAATCATTATCCCCTTTGCACTACCCATCTTCATTCTGACATCCATTTTTCTTCAATCATTTCAGATTTCTTATTGTTCTTTTAGAATGCCATGAATTTGTATGTCCTATATTTTTCCTGAGATTATCCTTTTATTTAACAAGGCATATCCTCATTTATTGAATAAACTTACATTTATCTTCCAAGGACAAACTCAGTAATCAGGACAAACTCAGTAATCATCCTTTCTGTAACTTTTTCTCACTGGTAACTGCACAATAAATTACGTTCCCACCTACATTTACATATATTTTCCATATAATTCAGTAATTCTGCTTACTATTTCATATCACTGCAATTGTATTATAGCGTCTTCACCACTTAATCATAAAGTCTGGAGGCAGAGACTGTGTTTTGTCTATCTCCAGAATAGAGAATGGTATATAGTACACACTATGTCAGTATCTGTTGGAGTGTGTGTGATATGTCCAGTTGGTTCTCTGTTCTATATATGATATCTAAAGATTAACTTTTCATTTTCCCTCCATGTCTACTCTCCACTTTTGATTTACTATCTTTTATTAATAATGTTGTTACAGTTACTTGGATTTAGTAACTTTTTTGAAAAAAGATTTTATTTTAATTTTGATATTATTATATAATCACAATTTCCCCCTTCCCTCCTACCTCTTCCATATACCCCTCCTTACTCGCCTTCAAATTCATGGCTTCTTTCTTCACTAATTGTTGTTACATGCATATATACATAATATATACACATATATGCATATATAATTCTAACTATATATGTATAATGCTACTTGTATGTAACTTTTCAGGGTTCACAATTTGGAATTAGATAACCAACCGGTGTGCACTTCCCTGGGGAAGATTATTTCTCCCAATTTTAGCATTCCTTAGCTGCCTTTGTGTAGTGTTTAGGTCTCATGGTCTTTCCCCCATCCACCTTGGCATGTATATTGTTGTCCTTGCTCAGTTCATGTCTAGGAAGTCATGTTGGTGAGACTTTATGGGTGTGGCATCTGAGATCACTAGGGAAGAGCAAACTTGTTCCTCATAGCCCCATGTAAATTTTCAGCAGTCCCAAAGCCCTATTGTCATTTCAATCTCCCTAAAGTTTCTCGAGAATTTGAGTCAAGTTGCAAATACATTGAGTCCTTTATTACCCTTTGCACACCTTTGAAAAGGCCTCTTTAACTAAGCTCTCTGCTCTCAAAGTCATTGTTATTGCCTGCAGCCCCATAACTCTTCCTTTGCCTTCTTCATCAAACATTTATTAAGCACCTTTTGTGGAATACATTCTGCTAAGGCCCTGTCTTCAAACAATTAGCAATCTAGGTGAGGAAGAATAGGGCATATGCATGTATGCATACGAGAGAGAGAGAGAGAGAGAGAGAGAGAGAGAGAGAGAGAGAGAGAGAGAGAGAGAGAAATCAAAGTAGCATAAGATAAATGTCAACTGAGCCATGCCAACTCTAAACACAGAAACTGAAAGAAAACACCATTCTCTTAGTGAGCAAGTGGAAAAGATCCAAGAATGAGATGGGATGTGTTAGAGATTTAAAAGTTAAAAGGGAAGAACATTTCAAACCAAGCAACAAGGCTTGAATGAGACACCATGTCAAGAACTTTATTCTATATGCAATATGATATTCTTAAAAATATTCTTTTTTAAGAGTTATTTTTTATTTTTATGTATGCATATGTGCCTGTGCCTGCTAGTGGGACACCCACAGAGGCCAGAAGAGAAAGGATCTGGAGTCACAGTGGTTGTAAGCTGTCTGACATGAAAGCTTAAGAACTAAACTCTAGTCTTCTGAAAGAACAGTAATCTCTCCTAACCACTGAGTCATCTTGCCACCAAATATTCTTGAAGAGAAGAAAAATAGGATGATGGATGCCTTCAGTTAACTTTTTTTTTAATGAAGAGGAAATATCATTATTGGCACACCAACATGGGACAACCACATTCACATAAAACCTGTGAAAGCTTAGAAAGGAATTATAGACACAAAAGAACAGAGTTAAGCACGGCTTCTTGGTAGCTGGCATTTTTTTTTCAGATGAACTCTGTTTGCTGGTGGTGAGCAGGAGTGCTGAGGCTCCTTTAAGAAAAGACTTACTGAGTCAGCATAAGAAATGGTGGCTTCCTGTTTCAGGCAGCACAAATTCAGGCTCTTTTAGAAGGCCAAGCACTTGAACAGGGTTTTCGGGCAGCATGCTACAAGTTACTTGGTGGCAGCATGGGCCAACTAGCTCCCACCCAGTAGTCTCAGAAACAGTGAACAGACCTCGGCCATGTTGGACTGGATGGGCCCAAAAGGCAAAGCAGCCTTAGTCCTTACCATGCTGCTCAGCATTTTAAGGAACAGCACTGGTCAGAAAATGATTACAAATATGCAATAAAGACAAATTCAGATGGAAAAGACCTCTAAATGGGTCACAGTGTTGAATAAATATATGTAGGCTTAGGAGAGAGAAGAAATAGTTATAAAACAAAGTAAATAGTTTGAAAAAAGTAAAGACTTTAAAGAGACAGAGTACAGACAGTCATAGATTAAAGGAGTAAAGAAACATACGCCACATAAAGATGGAATATACACAGAGAATCTGAATTATGTTTATTACTGTGTTTTCTTTGAATTTTTGACTGTGACTGAGCTAAGTACAGAGAGACAGTTCATTGTACAGGCTGCTAAGCTAAACCAACATATATATATATTAAGGTATCTTGACTTCAAAATTTGTGTCTAAGGATATGTTGCTTTGGAAAAGAGGTTCTGATTTTGTTTCCACAGAAGATGAGAACCTGTGGATTCCTTCCAGGATAATGTGATTTGATGGACCAAGACCCCTGAAAGGTCTCTGTAAACCTCTAAAATTACTTTGCCCAACAAAAATCAGGAAGCATTTTGGAGAGAACTATGCCCAAACCCCCAAATATTGTTTATAAAGAGATGAATACTTTGCAATGGTATAGATCTTGGTCTATTGATACAAATTTAAGGTCAATTTTGTTATACTGTGTATATATATTTCT